ACCACTGAATTCTTTCTTGAGGCTCCCAGGTCATAAGCTCAAGATCATATCATTTATCTAAGGCAGCTCTTTCACTCCAAAGGCCCATGCAAATCCTGAATCTGGAATAACAGAAGTGAAACGTGTGCTGATTTGATTTTGATTTGCATCCATGTAGTTTTGTTTTGATGTGCATTTCTCAGCTCTATATTCACTGTAGTTTAAAACTGAAGTTCACCTGTTAGCTGTGGACCTCACTGCTGCAAAAAGAAAAATGTCACCACAATCATTGATGATCAAGAAATAAAAATGTGGCTTAATTTCCACCCTCCACTCAGTATTAACAGTTTGAGTGAGACATTAGAATGGGTCCCTTCCCCTTTTCAAATCAATAAAGTGTGGTGGTTCCAAACTTTTCCAGTCAAAGCCGACAGATACAACTTGAGCCTGAGCTGCACTGACTTCTTCAGGCCTCCCAAAATAATTACATTTCATGCTGAGATGAATGTGAGCAGATGGCAAATCTTCTCCACTTGCAGTCTCTCAGAGAAAAGTGTGGATATAGGTGTGGGAAGATTTTGGTTTGGAGGCAAAAAGACTGGAACAAGCAGAGCAAGGCATTCTTTATGTCATGGTTATTGCTGCACAGTTTCATACTAACACAATGCATGAGTACGATGTGTCAAAGAACTGCTCTGTGACTTGCGGTTACTCTCTTGGTGCAGCATTACTGCTGTTCAGCAGTCAGAGAAACGTTGGAGTGGGTTAAATTTGGAATACAAGATGACCTGGAGGCAGTGAATCCCAGCACACGTTTCAGTCCTCAGACTCCCGTTGAAGGAGTCAGACACAGTTTCTTGTCAAGTTCCAGGACAAAGGTGGACACTACTCGATTTCACAGGAATACAAAACCCTCTCGTTATCCTCCAGACATGCCAAGTCCTCATGCAGGATACTCACCTTGCATATTTTCAGGAACTGGAACAAAGAGCTTACACATTCCAATCAAATCAGTTTGTTAAAGTTAACACATTTTCTAAACCAATGACTACCAAGGTACATATTTACCCCAATAAATGGATGAATAAATAAAAGATCATGAATCTAATTGGCTTCTCTTCAAACTGATGATGCTGAATTAAATATTCTACAAAGACATATTTGTGCTCCTAAAGGTTTAATGAGCTTCAGCCTCTCTGTATTTCTTACATCTTTCTCTAATCTCGGGACGCTAATGGCATCTCTGGTCAGGAGGATTCAACATGAGGTATGTTGCTCCCCTGCAAATAAAACTGATTAACTTGGATGATAGTCAGGGTCTTCATTCCACAAACAGTACACATATTTCATACCTTCCAATTATCTAATATGATGTCTAATTATATACACTATCAGACTGTGAATTTATCTTTGGTGCAGATTAGCAATTGCAGTTTTTCTTTGACATTCTTCTCACGCGTTGTTGTTTGTTATGGACTCTTTTCATGTCCTCTGTACTGGGACTTCCATACAGAAGGCTGATTTCTCTGCAAGGGCAATGAACTTTATTTGTCTAATCTAATCTTCTCTTGAAAACGGCATCTGGCCGACAGCAAGAATTCAGGAATATCTTAATCGCTTTCACTTGCCTGATTTTATGACGAAAACCTATTTATTTTACTGCGGGACTTGATATAAAACCAGTCTTGTGTAACTGATGGCTACGTACTGCTGGAATTGTGACCCTCATCACCTGGTCTTTGCTGTTCAGGCTTTAACTGCAGTTTTTCCCTGGACATCTGCATCTCCGGCTCTATCCACTTTGCATTTTTGATGAGAATGCTCTTGGGCTTGATGTAGGAAATTGACACTCATTTCACAGAACTTAATTGTCTGGTCAAAATCATATTACTCCTAAAGAACGGCTTCTGTGAAAAATAATTCATTTGCCAGCCTTGTCAACATCCATTATCATTGAGATTTGCTGATTCTAAAGGGAGCACGCTCTCTGAGGATCGCCTTTTGAAAGTATATACGATTTATGGTCAGTGCAATCTTTCAGAAACTGGTATATCTTCTGGGCCTTTGTGTTCACACATGAATTCCACACCACGTAACACACCAGACCAGTTCAACAAACAGTGTGTTTCAGGGAGAGACGCAAAGAATCAGAGGTTGGATTTAATGATTAAACATCCTCAGATTAATTGGAAAACATTAGAACAGAACTCATAATACATACATACATTCACAAACTGGACTTTTAGTCAGATTGGTGACCAATTGTCATAAGGTAAGAAACACAATTTCCGCAAAACACAGGTCTGAAACATTAACGTTAATGTCTGATAACAAAGTAGGGCTATTTCACTAGCACGATCTAAGCAACCCAGCAGACTTTAGAGCATATAGCTCTTCATTAAGGAGACCATTGTGATTAAAGAAAAATAATAAGCCTCAGTTGCACCTCAGCTGCTGTTGGCAGATGGATTACACAAAACCTCTTCATGCAATTTTTATTAAACTTTCCAGAGAGCTACATGAGCAAACAACCAATTAGATGTGGTCGTATATTCCGATAACTCTCTTTGAGCCTGGAGAGAGGAACATGGCAGAGGCTTCCACTCTGAGTTCCTCACTATTTTTCCTAAAGAAATCTTTGCATTCAGCGTGAACAGATTTAAAGCACAAATGTGACAAGTGAGGAGGGAGATGGCCCTGACTGCAGCAGCTCTTTTCATCTGCTCCACTCTGGAGACCCCGGGGTGGAAGTAAATCCTCTGAGGAAAATGCTCTCATGTTCAAAGAGTAGACACCAGTGATTCAAACACCCCCGACAGAAATTTCTCCATCCTGAAAAGTGCTCTCCATCCAAAGGTTGTCGTTGCTCAAAGAGGCTTTCATTCAAATAAAACTTAAGAGCAATCAGAATATTCTGGCATTATGAGTTTAAGGAGGACAATGAAATATGACTGGTGGAATTTTGTGCACAACGACTTGCCTGAAGAGCCATCTTCTTGTTGCTGCTTCCAACTTAACTGGAATATTTTTAGCTGAATAGCTGTTGTTTTCAGCCAAGTTTTAGGAGAAATCTAGAGACTGTACTGCTCTTAGCTATGAGGGCACTTAAATCATGTTGTGATTTTGTATGTAACCTTTATAAAAAATAAATATAAAAAGATTTTGGCACTGGTGGCCTTTATTTGACAGAAGGTAGAGGGGGAATGGGGACAGATAGAGAGGTGGGGGGATAAATGTCCACGTGTTCGGGGGGGTGAGCACAACCTTAAATCTACAAAATAAAAGGGAGATATTTTGGATTTCTCCTTCCGTTTCATACTCGGTGATGAGAAAAGATCCTCCAGAAACTTGCATGTTTTCACTAAAAAAGTACAAATTCAATCACAAAAATCCAGCCCAAAAACAACCTTCAAATAAAAAACACACACTGTTTTAAGGGCTAGTTTCCCTCTGTGAAGGTGCAGTTCATAACCTCATCAGTTAAAATAAGTTTTAAAACCAAACAGTGACTTTCCCAACTTTTGGACAAATACTGAGAAGTAAAATTAAGCACCAGATAAACATCAACTTTTGGAGCGGATGAACTTTTTTGATTTAAGTTGAGGATTTCTCTCAGCAGAGGACCGTCTCAGCAACACTCATTACTCTGTGTGCGGCCGAATCCCACTAGGATTTTAATTTGTTTCCTACAAATAGCTGGCAATTCATAGGTGTGTTAGAGGATGTCTGCTTGAGTTATTGCTCTACTTCAAATGCCTGAAGCTATTAGACTTTTCAAGAACCTGTGCCAGCCTACTGTGCTCAGGACAGTGTACATTTAGCGCCACAGGGCTGACAAAATCTGTAAGTAGAGGAACACGTTCTGTTTTACAATGTGCTTTTCAAAGACAGTAATGAGTTTTCTTTTATTAACGTTTCATATTTGCATTAACTGAACATAATACGAAGCCTTTCATTCCGATCCCTTCCTCTAATGCTTTTGTCGCCTACTTGAGGCATTTGCTGCCAGTTTTTATGAGAGTGAAGCATTACAGCTGCAATTAAATTTTTCAAGATGGCAAAAAGCCAGAAGAAGAAGAGCCCGATTCCCAAACTGGAGCTCAAAGCCTTTGACAGATTTTCAATAGCGGTCAGCATATCGCTAAGACTGCCAATTAATTTTCTAAGACAGAGAAAAAAAAAACTGAGAACATGACAAATTGGCGCTGATGGCATTAAAAACTATTTCTGCACCACTTCAGTAGATCAGGCAATGTCTTACAAAAAAGTACGTCCATTAGATTGTAACCTTTTGTCCCTGTAACTGTTTCACATCAAATGACTTTGTGTTGAGTCCAGATTAAAAGTAAGGCATTTATCTCACCATTAACTAATGGGACCTTTTAGAAACAATGCTGGGCAGATTTTAGGAGGAACTACAAACCTTCAGCATGCTGTAAAGACCTTTAATGTAACTTTGGAGCCACAGCAAATAGTCCATTCACTCTATGGTTTCATCATTTTCGCTTTGCACTCAATAATCAGACCCAACACATTCCTGAAATAGAAAACACACACTAATGACAGTGAAAAGCAAAAGGTTTTGAAATATTCATACTTTTATGCAAAATAAAGCACATTGTACAGCTTTAGGAATTGTTTTGAAAAGATACAGTGTCTTTCAGAGGAAAGTGTATGCTCCTCTGTAATGTTCACAACGTTCATATGATATAAATAGACACATAGTTCCAAAATGGACAGCAACCACGACATGCAACTCACTCAGGAAAACACACGCACAGACAAACACACACACTCACCCATCCATCCATTTTCTGTACCCACTTACTCCATTTTAGGTTTGCAGGGGGGCGGCTGGAGTCTATTCCAGCAATAATCCCCCACAGTCCATCTCAATGAAGGTTCAACGGTAATTATACAAAAACATTTACATCTCTGAATGCTAATAATTTCCATGACGTAAAACACACACTTAAACAATGTAAATACACACATATTCATACAAGCCCGTTGTTTGCTCGTCATAACTCTGTCTTGGCACTCTTTTTGGGTTGATCTGTAGTGCTTGCTGTCAAATCATCCTTCAGCCACTTGTTGAAAACAGCAATAGGGTCAATGTTCCAGTGTTTGTGGAAGGAGACAGGCACCTGGTGAGCTAAGAGGTCCCTGGCATAGTCCTCTGGGCGTGCCTGAAAGGAATGATCAAGTACAGTCATTAATACATTTGAAAGCAGCCACAAGTATGGATCAGTTTACTTAATATTACAATCACATGAATCATTTTCTCAAACTAATAAATTAAGATATATGATGTATGTCTATAGGCAAACTATATTATCTTTGCTAGATAAATAAACAGAAACTAGCAGCATTTATGTACACAGTCCTTTTTTCAGCTGTCTAACGGTGAGCTCTGCAGCATTCTGTAAACATTTCAAAGTCTCTCGTATCATGACCCAATCATAAACACTGGCTTCTCTGTTGCAGCTTTGGACTGTGCTGCCATGATAAGCAGATTATCTAACCCACTATCTGAATTGGAAAACAATGTAGAGGAAAACAAATGCATCCCCTTTTTACTTTTAAAAAGATGCCTGGACCAAAGGGATATTAGAACCCTGACGTTCTTTGCTTTTTACTTTTTTCACTAAAAGGCACAATCCTGTTAGCTAGTATATTCTGAGCTTGTCTGACCACAGACCTGATAATGCATAGCTTTCTGTTTGGTTATTGTGAACTTCTGGTCAGTGAAAGTGGGCTTTTGCATGCTTGCCTGAATCTCTGAATCCTTCATGGTCAGGATCAATGGAAAACAGCCTTGGGCATTGTCTGCTTATGGAGTTGGTGCCAAGGGACCTCAATGATGATTCTCAAACCTTGGAGAATCCTTGAAAAAGACGCTATAGCTGTTTGTCACCTCTCTATGTCATTGGTTAAAGAAAACATCTCTGTAATGGCATAGGTATGACTTTATGAATTTGAATTTTCTAGTAATATATTCAATCCAATTAAAATATAAAATGTGTCAACACAGGAATGATTTCGCCACAAATCTGTTTGTACAGCCTCTATGACAGGACTTAAATGAACCATTAGCAGAGATGGGAACACCTACGCAGGGCTTTCAGATGATATACATCTTCCAGATGTGTTGTAGGTTATCACTGTGATTGACGCCTGAATCCTTTGCCAAACGATGAGTCCGTAAAAGCTGCACTGAATTCTTTATTTATTTTTGGTGAAAATACTTCACCAATCCCACTGCTTGGAAATAAATTCACCTTTCCACTTCGCAGTATTGTGACAGGATGGTGTTTCTTAGAAAATATGCCTGTGAGAAACCTCCATTATTCTCACATTTGGTGTAAAATATAGCAGGACACACACAAACAAGAATTTGAAAGAGAATAAATACAACCTGGTGGAAGAGAGAGCTGTGTGTGACGGGAAGCCCGAGAGCATTGAGGCACATTCCCAGCACCATGTCATCCGGCGCATCATTGCTGTAGCACTTGCAGCCACTGTTAAGAAGTCGGGCCACAGCCTCTCTGCTGAACACCATTCTGCAGCAGCACAGCCAAGGCAAAAATAGATTAGATCAGCTGAGAGGTCATAGTGCAGTATTATATTTGTTTAGCGAGAGGCCAGACGGGTAAAATGAAGGCTTATTGCAATGACCTGTCTCTGAAATGAGTAACAATTACACATTTAGACAAACCACACCTTCCATTGTAAAGATAGTCATTCAGAGCAAGCTTTTCTTTTTTCTCTTTCTTTCTTTATCTACATAACTATATGAGAAAAGTGGCATCTGAGGAATTGTCGCAGCTACTGCAGAGTCCCAGAATGCATTTTCTCACACAGCTCATTAATCATGAGAAAATAGATATGTTATGGTATCACTTTACAAACACGTGTCCTATGTGATAACCATCCCAGAAATGTTGGAATTTCATTAACTAAATAAAGCTTTCCATGATACACATTTTTGGAAGCGTTGATTTCCTGACTTGTTGTTTCAGCTGATAAGACAGAACAGTTTACTCTTTGTGTTCCATGGTATTTTACTACTGATATTTAGAGGTCATCTTTCCTATAATCCAGCCCGCAAACAACATTTTCCTCAGAGTACACTGAGAAGGATTATCTGTAAGTTGTTCATTACACTTGCTATAGTTCCCCTGCTGCATTTCCTATCTTCATCATTGTTATTCCCTGAGCATCTGAGCAGTAAAACTCACCCTCCACCTCCTGTGATGTAACTGTAGCCCCCTTGGCTCAAGCCGTAGCCGTATCTTTCTCCAAGACACACAGGCTCAGAGGGGTCGTAACAGCTCAGCAAGATTTGCAGTCTGGGGAGGCTGAGGCGAAAAGCACGACTCATAACAAACACTCATCATCATCCTGCAGAAACTTGCGGGCCTAAATGCCTATGAAACTGTCCATTTAGAGGTTGGAAGAACTGCTCTAACCCGGGCACCTCACAGAGGCTTCCACACGACACGATATGTTGATAGAGATTAATCCAGCTGGATGGGAATTAGCTTTCTTCTAAGCATTTTTGCTAAATAATTCCATGCTAGGTGAAAAAAGATTTGAAAAGAAATCATGAAATTATACCTGATGAGTGTGTCATCATCCACAACAAGAAGCCACTTTGTGTTCGGGACAGCGCTGCTTAAAAACCTTTGAAGGATAGCAAATGTTTTCCCGCAGTGACCTGAAAATAGAGACACGCCATCAATGGAGAGGCTCGTAGGACTTAATCACATATTGACTGTGTGCTTTTATTGTGGTTAAAAAAGATAAATTACCCGGTTAGAAAAGAAAAACACAAAAGATACAAGCAGTTATTCACATGCACACGTGCCGGAATACACAAAAGAAACAAACAAAGGGCACCAGCAGTTACAAATATAGTATTCAGTGACTGTTTGGAGGGAAGGATGCTCAGAAACTACAGCAATTAGTAACCAAAATATTATCTAAACTTCTTAGTGCAGATTTGGGATAATGTTGAATTTAGCTTGTGGTTAATGCGCTATATTTTAATTTTTTGTTTGTGATTCCACAGTTTTGTGCGTTATGTGAAACAAAGCAGCAGTTCCTCCTGCTCAAGGACACCTGAATAGTAAATGTGTCTGTGGGCACATAGATCACCTCCTTCAGAGATCAAACAGGTGAACTCTTGCAAAAGGTTCTCCTGACAACTGTATTTGAAGTTTTTGTATTGCACAGCTTTCAATAAAAATGTACGAGTTTGGCCTTTCCATTGAAAAACGTGTCCTTTAGAGCTCTGTAAGAAGAAAGAAAGATTCTGACATCCTGTCAGAATTCTGACATCTCACAGAAATAATAAGTAGTGTTTGACATGATGGGCCAGAAAGATCTAACTTCAACTCTTGGCATGTTTGACACGACGGCGAGATGGAACAAAATGCTCTGCCAACTCCTAAAAACAAAAACTGCGATGTAGTGGTAAACAATATATTCCAAGACCCCAAAGAAATATATCCATCAGGTTCCAAATATCTACACGCCAAAGGGGCTGAGAGCTGAGGCATGGAAATCTCTGGTGGCATCCATCACAAAGAATACTGAGGCTGTATTGTTTTATTTATAAAGCACCCAAGGTGTTTTTTTTTTTTACTTACATCTGAATATGGAATAAGGAAGGACACCTTGAACTGTGGACAGGAATAAAACCAACCACTGTACTTGAAAGACAAAACTCAAAACAAACCTTATTTGGAGTGTTTGTTGGAGGTGGTCAGTGATGCTGCAGAGTCTGGAGAGATTAATGATTCATGCGGTACGAAACATTAACCATCCATAAAAAAGCAAAACCCTCCAACCCTATGAAAATTACATGCACAGAAGGCTCGTCTTTGGACATCAAACTGACTTTTTTCTT